GGTTTCTGAAAGCGCGCTGCACTGCTATAGCAAATGCTAACCTAGTATTTGAAGGTTGAGCAGCGAGCTCATTTGGTTACTGATACAGCAGGAACCAATCAGCATTTCCCTGAAGAGATTGTTGTGATTGCAAAGCAGATTGAGTTGAGGACCTATCAGCTTGCCCCATCTAGAGTTTCAAGCTCTTAAAGGAGTAGTTCACTTTTAAAAAAACTTTTGCTGATAATTTACTCACCCCCATGTCATCCAAGATGTCCATGTCTTTCTTTCTTCAGTCGAAAAGAAATTAAGGTTTTTGATGAAAACATTCCAGCATTTTTCTCCATATAATGGACTTCAATGGGAACCAAACGGTTCAAGGTCTAAAATACACTTTCAGTGCAAACTGTTCAAAAGGCTTTAAACGATTCCAGACGATGAATAAGGGTCTTATCAATCGAAACGATCGCTCGTTTAATTAATAATTAATAAATAACAAAGTTTAAGTCTTATAAGCTCAAATGTTCACCTTGCTCTGTTCTGTGATGCACGTTTGTGACTCTCCTGTTCGAACTTCAAAATGAACGAATCTTTTTCCGAGTCATTTGGTTCATTCAATGAACAAATTGACTCGGAAAAAGATTTGTTCATTTCGATGAACGAGTTCGAACAGGAGAGTCACGAACGCACATCACAGAACAGAGCAAGGTGAACATTTGAGCTTATAAAACTTAAACTTTGTTATTTTTTTTTAAATGAGCGATCGTTCAAGACCCTCATTCATCGTCTGGAATCGTTTAAACCCCTTTGAACAGTTTGCAGTTTGCACTGAAACTGTCTTTTGGACCTTGAACCGTTTTAAGACCATTATATGGAGAAAAATCCTGGAAATGTTTTCATCAAAAACCTTAATTTCTTTTCGACTGAAGAAGGAAAGACGTGGACATCTTGGATGACATGGGGGTGAGTAAATTATCAGCAAAGGTTTTTTTTTTAAACGTGAACTACTCCTTTAATGTTATGTAGGTATGTGTATACTATCACTCTTTCTGCTTATTAAAAGATCTATTTCTCATCCATTCTGCGTCACACATTAACCTTTGGATTCAACTATGCTAACCCCGAGTTAAATAAAATCAAATGCTGGAGCGAATTCGGGGCTTTTCCTCTCTTACAACATCTGAGCAGGATGCCTGTCATGTGTTCCACAGCCGGTGGTTATCTGCTCTTCCATCCTTCCATTCAATAACACACAGCCCTTTAGCGGAAACACATATGCACAAATACACTTGTGTACACACACAGACACACGTAAGCACACACCATGAAGTCTTAAACATAGCAAACAGAGAGCAGAAAAGCAGGAGTGTAAAGTATTGTAATTGTGTTCCATTAGTATATTAAAGGGATAGTTCACCTAAAAATCAAAATTCTGTCATTATTTGCTCACCCTCAAGTTGTTCTCAACCTGCATGAATTTCTTAGGAGGAATGTGGGTAACCAAACAGCTGATGGGCCCCATTGACATCCATGGTATGGGAAAAAGAAATACTATGGAAGTCAATGGGGCCGATCAACTGTTTGCTTACCCAACTTCTTCAAGCAGAAGTGTTCAGCAGAAGAAAGAAATTCATACAGGTTTGGAACATTTTTTTACTCATAGGTTAGACGTTTTGGGCACAAAGTTTTGCAGCATATTATTAATTCATTACTAAAAACTTTCTCATCTCAAATAAGTGGTTTCTGATCAACATTTTGTGTGAATTGTAATTGAACTGGTTTCTTTACAAAGTTTGAGCATCAGTTTGAGTCTCTTCAACAGTCTATTTTAAAAGTTAAGTTAAACGCTTTGTAATGAGGTTTAATTTGTTCATTTTAGTTAACATGAACTAACAATTAAAAATACTTATGCTAATGTTATTTACTGGACCTGAGCTAACATGAACTAACAATTAACATTGTTTTAAAGACTAAAAAATGTATTCCTCATTATTAGTTAATGCATTATCTATTGTCTAATTTTAAAGTTAAATACTTTTCACTTTTAATTGCTCAAGTACTATTAAATATGGAAACTCTTAATTTAACTCAACTTTGCTTTGATACGTTGCAGATTTCATCCATTAGTAACACAGCACTTTAATAGTTTGTATTTAATGGAAAGTAAAAACTCATTTATAATTCCTTTTTGTACAAGTTTAGCTATCATTGAAATGAATCTAAAAATTAAGTGTTATTATATCATACCTCTGCATAACTTTGTAAATAACCAGATTATCAGTAGAGAAGTGGGAGTGGACAGAACTGAAGTGAAACAAAGTCTGAATTTGTTTTATGTAAATGCATAAACACAAACACAATTGTGCTTTTGTTGACTAAGTCAAAGGGGGCTCAACACAGGTCACAAGACCACAAAATTACAGCACATCTAGAAGATATAGTAACAAAGTTTTGTATTTGCTCTTATTCAACGATTTCAAGACTCATGTTATCTTGTGACGATCTGAAAGCAGACTGTTGACAAAGAAGTTCCTGTTTTTGTTTTTTAGAAATGCTCTGAGGGGCATGTAGCAACATCACTAAAACCACAGCTGTGAGTCCATTTTGAAGAAACGAAGGAAAAGACGAGAAAAAGAAATATAAATTTCAGAGAAAACTTAACCTAGTAAACAAAACGCGGCCAATTTTACCTTTCCTTCCCTCCTCTCCGGCAATACAGGTCCTGACAAGACTTGATCATAGCAGCAGTGGTCGAGGTCGAGCTCGGCTAGTCTCCGTCTGTCAACCGCTCATTCGGGGGAGGAGTGAAGAGGGAGGAGAGGAAAACAGACTCGAGTAGTTTTTCTGATACGCATCACAGAGCTATATGAACCTTCTATGATACGAACACTGATCTATTTCCTGCCAAGTCTCTAAAAAGAGACTCAAATCCCTCCCACTCCTCCTCCTAACTTTAGCCCACCTTCTTCTTCAACTTCTTTGGTCTGCAGAAAGAATACTGTCGGAGGATCGAGTTACCTAGCCTACTGAATGCCCTCATAAATAAAGCTACATGACCGCGCAGAGACGCGCATTAAACTCCTGCATGAGGAGAGGGTTTGTGTAAATGTATTCATGCGAAAGAAATTGTGAAAAGATCTTGATTTGGAACTACTCGCCACATATTTGTATCCTGACCGCATCAGAAGTGGAACCAGCGAAGCAATTTCTATTTCTCGAAAGTATGTTTAGAATTATAACTGGTGTAATTAAAATAGGCTCCTCTGAAAACTTTACAACAAAGCTCTATATTAGTTAACAGGAACTAAAATGCAAAACACTTCTAAAGCATTTGTTTACCTCAGTTAATGTTAACGTTCAATGGGTACCAAACGGTTCAAGGTCCAAATGAGAGTTTCAGTGCAGCTTCAACGGGCTTTAAACGATTCCAGACGATGAATAAGGGTCTTTTATCAAGCGAAACGATCGCTCATTAAAAAAAAAAGAAATAAAAAAGTCTAAGTTTTATAAGCTCAAATGCTCGCCTTGCTCTGTTCTGTGATGAGCGTTCGTGACTCGTACATCAAAATGAACTAATCTTTTTTCGAGTTATGACTCGAAGGGTCTTTGACCCTTATTCATCGTCTGGAATCGTTTAAAGCCCTTTGAAGCTGCACTGAAACTCTCATTTGGACCTTGAACCGTTTGGTTCCCAATGAAGTGCATTATATGGAGAAAAATCCTGGAAATGTTTTCATCAAAAACCTTAATTTCTTCTCGAATGAAGAAAGAAAGACATGGACATCTTGGATGACATAAGGGGGGAATAAATTATCAGCAAAAGTTTTTTTTTTTTTTTAAAGTGAACTAGGCTTACTCCTTTAATGTAGGAGTAGTTCGCTTTAAAAACAGCATTTTTTTCCTAACTAACATTAACAAAGACAAATAAATACTGTAACAAATGAATTGCTCATTATCAGTTAAAGGTAGGGTAGGCGATTTGTTTTAGAAGCACTTGTTCTTCTCTCTTCACATCCTGACAACAATCAATAATAGAAGTGCTCTAACTATTAAAACATGTACATATTCTTTAGAAGTTACAGAACCAAAAAAATGTTCTTCCAATCAGTGCATTAGGTCCGAATACAATGATATGATGTCCTACCTGCCTGTTAACCTCTGTGCACCTGCTCACACGTCATCAGCGCGTTCCTTGAGGCTATGCAGAGTTGTAGACAGACACTCATCACCTTTTACAGTTTCTCCTGAACCAAAACAACAAGCTTATCCCGCATTCACGTCATGTCATAACTGTAATTATTAGATAGCAACACGTGACATTCTACCTAAAAACCTGTAGAGCTAGTTCATGTCCTCAGACTCAGATTTATGTTTTTTATGTCAACACAATCAATAACCCTAACCCTAACCCGAAATTAAGCTCCAACAGTCAGATGGTACAAGTAAAAGCTCTTAAAGTAGTTTATGTTCATTATTATTGTAATGTTTTGTGCTTTGAGACATGAGGTAGTTTAACAACATCTCCCATCTCATGATGTTTTGCAGGCGCTGATGTGTGCATTCATGTGTTTTAAAGGAGATGTGGCTTTAGAGACGCTCTGAAGGAAGGATGGGATCTAATGCTTTCAAAAGTAGGTATTGCTAGCCTCTCTGAAATTTCCTACCTTTAATGTTATTCAATCAATTAACTAATTGGGGACTAATATGAAACAAACTCCGATTGTTGTGTTGGTCAAAAGAGGTCATTAATAAATTGTTTAAAATTTCAAAATAATGTGACAACTTGCCCCAATAAAAAAAACCTTATCCTGAGGACACAATTAAACCATTGAGTTAAAATCTGCATTCATTGCATAGTATATAAATAATAGCCTATCTAAAAAAGATTATAATATATTTAAAAAAAGATTATTATATTATTATATATTTTCTTTTACTAGGATTTTAGTTTTTGTGATCGAACTCACAGAAAACATGCCTTTTCAAGTGCCCCTAAATTAGCCGTGAATGAGTAAACAAACTTTTTTCCATTTTTATTTTTTTTATTAATTTTTAAAAATGTAGATAATGGATAAAAGGCCCAAACAAAATCAAAGATCAAACAAATGTGAACAGGTTGGACTTTCACAAAAGTAACAAGTGCATAAAAGTGAAGAACAAAAGGTAAACAATGCGAAGCGATTCTTCTTAGATTAGAATTGCTTCTATCATACTTTCAGGTCACATTTGAATAGTTGCACTTACAGAAACACAGATAGCCTACATCATTCACAACACACAAACACCAAAATGAGTTAGGTTAAATGCATTGATAGCTACTCTTAAAAACCCAACATTTTAATTTAATCAGAGTCATGTTAACACAAACAAACAAAAACAACTGATAGGGTCGGGATACGAGAAAAGAAACCGCTTCAAGTTCCTGAGGTATCTTTAAAGACAGCTTGTAATCCTCAGTACTTAGATGCTGTCTACTGCAGTAATGACAAGCGTTTTGTTCTTGTAAGACTAAAAAAAAAACATTGCATGCCTAGATCCCATTCCTTGGTGTGACGGATTATACTTTGAAAGACTGAAGATGCTGGAAAACACTAAATATCCATTCATGAAGTCTTAAGCATACAGCTAGAAAGAGATTAGTCTCCCTTTACTTTTTGATACATAGCCAAAAAATGACGCTGCTTCCCCCACAGTCAGTTCATCCTGAAATAGCAGCGACACAACCCTAGACGACATGTGTCTGAATGTTTAGCAAGTGTGCAAGTGAGCCACTGAAGTGAAACAGCTGGATCTGCAGCAGTTTAAGGTGGAACATTAAATGGTCAAATGTCTGATTTGTTATTTAAAAAATGTCAAGCAAAGGAAATGTCTAGTGACATAAGTACATAAGGGAGTTAGACAGTGCAAAAGAGTGCCTTGTGAGGTTCACATCTAATCATATGGCTGAAAAAAAAAACTTTAATGCAAATTCAAATCTTTCTCACATATTACATGAGGCACTTTTAAACTGTAAAAAAAAAGTGCATTTGAGATCAGGCAGTAGCACCACTTGTTTCTGAGGTCACTTCTATCTGCTGGTTTCTCACTTCCTTCTCCTTCCGCAGTATTTGCCTTGGCATCCTGCGCCCCCTACAGGAGAACACACTGTCACTACTGCCACTTGTTCATAAGGTGAGTATTCAAACTACAAACAGTGTTAGTTTAGTGTCATTGGGATACTATTATAATTTTGAATGAGGTTTTACTTTCCATTTTCCATTTTCATTTTAATTTAAGGGGGTGGTGATGGCACAGTGGATAAGACACATGCCGGGTTCGAATCCACTGTGGGACACCAATGTGTCCCTGAGCAAGACACTTAACCCCTAGTTGCTCCAGAGTAGAGCCCGACCGGTAAAGGATTTTGAAGGCCGATACCGATACAAATATTTTTGGGTTTTAAAATCCGATATTCCGATATATCGGCCGATATTTTTTTTTTTATTATTAAATATTGTTGGATTTCACACACGTGTAAAAGAAAAGCTAACTTTTCTGCACAAGATACGTTTGATACTTTTTCTCTATGTCTAAATGTTCACTCCTCGCAAGTCTAACTTACATTTTACAATGCAGGGACTGTAACTAGAGATATGCTAGTTATAAATACAGTAATAATTACTTTATTTAGGCGGAAAAAGTTCATTGTGGTTTCAAAGCTCATTAATGTTAACGTTAGCGGTCTTCCACTGATGATAGTGGCATTAGCGAGTCTATGATGAGCCATAATTTAGCAATAGATAACATCATACTGCAAATTGTAAAACATACATTTTCAATATAACAGGCCAAGGAGAGATGATTGAAGCGTGTTTCGTCTGTTTTTATCTTATTTTTTTAAATATTCATTTATCGGCCATTATGACTGCCGATACTGATATTTTGGAAAAATACCTCCTAATATATGGCCGATATATCGGTCTGGCTCTACTCCAGAGGTGTGCGACTTCTGACATTTATAGCAATTGTAAGTCGCTTTGGATAAAAGCGTCAGCTAAATGAATAAATGTAAATGTAATTTGAGTTAAAGTTTTAATAATGTAGTTGTGTGAGTGTATGTCTATATAGTTTTAGTTATTTTAGTCCATCAATTTAAACTAAACGAAAATGATGGACTTTTATGTTTCTCTTGGTCGCATGTTATACAAGTCATAGATCGGAAAGTTATGAGTCTAAAGTTGTAATTAAAGGTGCATTGCGCAAGTCTCTGAGTTTTTGCAGAACTACGCCCCCTCTGGCGACAAGCGAACCTGATCAGAGAAGGGCTCATTCAGCCCATGTATGGGTTAGAAAAACGGGTATTTTTAGCATAAAATGTTGCGCAATGCACCTTTAAATGTTCTTGAAAAATGAATTTCGACGGGTTTTTGCAGTATGAACCATAAAAAAGTGCCTTTATTTCTGCTTACGTACCTCTGTAGCCTCCTGCACCTAGAAAGCCTTGAAGAGCTGCGTATTTGGCTGCTTTTGCTATAAAAGAATCACACATTTAAATGCGATACAAAGCTGCAAATGTATGTGGATAATGTACAGGTTTAGGCCAAACTCTTAATTTTATCATTATTAGCTTATAACAAGTTTGCTGTAATAGCAGTGTGTCTTACATTGCTGAGGTGTAAGTGGTGCACTTCCAGTTCCCCCTGCGCCAGTGCCACCATAACCTACAATACAACATCACAACTTCCCATTAATCACCCTAAACCACTTGCATTGATTATTAAAACAACACACCGGCACAATTATTCTCGTTTAAATACTTAAAAGAATAGTTCACCCAAAAATGGTGAACAAAATTATCATCATTTTCTCGCCCTAACGTCGTTTCAAACCTATAAGACTTTCATTCATTTTTCATTCATTCATTCATATCTTTTAAAATCAGATTTTTGTCCCTAAAAGTCCATTCACTCAACTTTTCATGAACTTTTTGAATTGAAATTGCAATTTATGAATTGAGCAGTTTCATCCAAGTCTTCTGAAGAGACTTTGTATGATGAACAGATTCATCTTAGCTTTTCATTCACATCTAAAAATGTATAGACGCATACATAAAGCACATCAAATATGGTATGACACACTAGATCAAACCTAGCAAGCACATTTGAGCTTTGTTTACCATTTAAGTCCGTTTATCATAAAAATGTAAGTGTCAACATGAGAGGTGAACAAATGAAGATCGAATTTTCCTTTTTTGGTTAACTAACTCTTGAATAACATCTAATAGCTTTCTTGAATCCTCAGAGCTGATGGTAAAGTTGCCATTACCTGGATAAGGCTGTTGATATCCAGCACCTGGACCTACACCAGTCCCATATCCAGGGACTCCACCTCCTGCAAGATCAACAGATCTACTGTAACTCTTTATCTTCATATCTGTTCTTTCAATGTGCTTCAGAAATTCAACTGAGAAGGTTTGGATAAGCCCATTTCCTCAAAGAGAATTGAGGAGAGATACATATAATGCACTGACAACCCGCAAACAAACGTAAGTAAATAAAATCCATCTATCTGATGGCAACCAGTCAACACATTTTATATGCAATTTATGCTCATTCAGTTGCTGAGACCAAAAATCATGCAGTAATTAAAATTAATTAAAGGAAAATTGATTCACACTTATGAAATAATTAATCTCAACACTGTAAAATGTGATCAGTTGATAAGTAAAATAAAATATGAAGAAACTTTACCTCCACCGGTTCCTACTGGGCTTCCAGCACCTCCTCCAAGACCTCCAGCTCCACCTAAACCTCCATAGCCTACAACAAAAACATCATATGATGTTGTTAAATTCTCTTGTGGAAAAAAAAAACGCTCTACTAACTATAAGTAACTTAGCAATTACATGTCAATTAACTTTTAGGCTTTAAGAAAAATGTGTTATTAATATATCAAATATTTATATTTATATATAATATTAATTGTGAATAAATATATATAAAATATATACATGCACATATTTCTTAAATATATACATGCATGTGTGGGTATTTATATATACAAATTAATTATTATTAATTATTACTACACACACATATATTATGTAAACACAAACTTTTATTTTGGATGCGATTAATCGTTGCCCATCCCTAATGTGTATATATATTGGTATACATTTGCAATGGATATTGTCATTAATTTATAATTACGACTAACAGCTAATTATAATTGTATCTAATTCCATACAATTCTATAGTATAAATGTATTACTCTATTCTACAAAAACATTTAATCAAATTTCCTCTTTGTTTTTCCACTATTGTCAAACCTATGTTGAATGTATATTAAATTGCATGCACGATACCTCCACCCACACCAACTCCTCCGCCAGCACCTCCTGGTCCAACTCCTAGACCACCACCTCCTCTTCCAGCCCCACCCAATGTTCCAGCTCCTCCATAGCCTGATCACACATGACATTTATTTTTTTTAATTCTGAATTTTGCCTAAGGATTGGTTATTGCGTCACTAAAGTGATTATTTAATGAGTTTTTACATACTTTTAGGTGGTTTTAATGCACCAGGACCATAACCAAGCCCTTAAAAAACAAAGAAATATTAGAATATTTAAATGTAAAAAAATGTGAGAGAAATACACCATGAAATGTGTAAATACCTCCAAGTCCACCGCCCGGACCACCTCCATAACCGCCCTGACCACCTCCATAACCGCCCTGACCACCACCATAACCGCCCTGGCCACCACCATAACCGCCCTGACCACCACCATAGCCACCAGGTGATGTTCCATATCCGCCTGGGCCTCCAAGCCCACCAAGTGTGCCTGCTGCCCCATAAACTTTAATCGAAGTGATAAAGAGTAATTTAACAGTCTTTCTAGTTCAGTGCATATGTATAAATACAACCAAACTGCATTTTTCTTAGAAGAATTTTGGCACCTTTTCCTTGTTTTCCGCCCACTGCAGCCCCACTGGGGAACCTGATGCCTGCAAAAAAGATTAAAAAATATAGTTCTCGGAACAAGACTGGTCCATAAAATATTACGGATATGGTGGATTTTTTGAGTTACCGGCCCCTGGTAGGATCCCACCGGCTCCAAAACTTCCAGCTCCACCGTAACCTGCAACAGATTTACAAAAGCCTAAGTCTTAAGCTTCTAACTGAAGGCCAAAAAATGCTTATTATGTAAAGCATAATCATTTTCCTCTCAAAATTGAGATATTTAAGTGTTCATTAATTTTGTTTTGTTTAAATTTAGCATTTAATTATTTTTAATATTCCACAATAAAATGTTTCTTGATCTGATTCATGCGTTGATTACTTTTGCCTGGTTTCTGCGCTCCAAATCCTGTGCCTGCAGCTCCTGGTAGCAGACCACCACCTCCAGGCAGAAGTCCTGCTCCTCCCACTCCACCCACACCTCCAACTCCCAGAGCTCCAGTTCCACCTGGACCACCATAAACTAGAAAAAAACATTGACTTTAATAGATTCATCATTTTATAAAAATGCACATAGAGAACTGGTAAATTACCTTTAGGAGGTTTAACTCCACCTGGTCCTCCACCAACTCCTCCCGGAACTCCACCTACTCCACCCGGAACTCCACCAACTCCTCCCGGAACTCCACCAACTCCTCCCGGAACTCCACCAGCTCCTCCCGGAACTCCACCTACTCCACCCGGAACTCCACCAGCTCCTCCCGGAACTCCACCAGCTCCTCCCGGAACTCCACCAGCTCCTCCCGGAACTCCACCAGCTCCTCCCGGAACTCCACCAGCTCCACCCGGAACTCCACCAGCTCCACCCGGAACTCCACCAGCTCCTCCCGGAACTCCACCAGCTCCTCCCGGAACTCCACCAGCTCCTCCCGGAACTCCACCAGCTCCTCCTGGACCACTGCCTACACTTCCAGGTCCTCCTTCAATAGTGCCCGGTGTATCTCCACGTCCAGCAATGGCTCCACCTCCAATGACTACAGTAAGACAAGTAAAATAAAACGTTTTACAAATAAAAAAGCTCCTGCTTGCCCAAAAATACGGAGACAGTAAAGGTAAAAGTGAATGGCATGAAGTACCTGGGGGTTTTAGTGGTTTGGCTCCAGGTAATGTTCCACTGTCACCAACTCCTAAGGAAGAAAATATAGTTATTTGAAGAGATTCAGTCACACTGGAACATACATTTACAAATTAACAATTTCAAAGCATAAAAATTTCTTCAAGCAATGTTAACCACAGACTTTATTTCCAGATAAATTGACAATCCCGTCAAAAACATAAGAAGATACTTTTCAAAGGAAAATTCTCATTATAGGACCACTCACTAAACTGACTTGCAAACCTTGAGTCCCACCCCCTATAAACACATTATTAACTGAACAAGGTATTCAGTAAATTTCCCTCTGTGTCATAAACATGTTATGTGTCTGAATTAGCCTATAAATGCAAAATGTTTTTGGATTAAGAAAAAAAGCATTCACAAGCTTTAAAAGTTTTAAAACAATGTTTTATAGGGCTACTACAACCGTATGCATGAGACTCCTCCACCACTAGAGGGAGATGTAACAATGGCAAATTATAGTCTGACGGATGGAAAAAAAAATAGCATGGCGTAGTTGGATAATTTTTACTGTCTATGATAATTTTGTGTAAATCAGCTCGAAGAACTTCACCACCAACCAAAAGAAGAAACTGAGAAAATAATTTTGAGCTCAGTGATCATTTGTGAGGTAATTATTTTTAAAGTTATGCTATAGTAACTTTAAACTGACTGACAGCAATATAATTCTACCGTAAATGTAAATATGAAGAGCCTGTTTTACCATCATAAGAATAATTGGCTAAAAATAATAATAATAATAATAATTTACTCCAAAACCTGTATGACTTTGATTCTTCTGGTAAGCAAAAAGCTGAGATTTTTAAAGAATATTCTTACAAAACCTAACACAAGTATCATAGCCTAAACGTTTTTCATCCAACTAACGGAATATCATCATGAGGTAATGTTGACAATTTCCTTTTCTGGGTGAACTTTTCCTTCAAAACACAGATTTGTAAGCGTCTAATAGACTTTAACAATAAGTGTTGTAAGTACATTTACATAGTGGAGAGTGGAAAAGTACAAACCTGGCACCTTCAAGTCCGTCCATAATACAGTGACCAAAAATAAATGGAAAAATGCAAAGGATAAGTATGTCTATAAGCTCACTGAACAGAAAGGGTCTACCTGGTCTTTCTCCAGCTAATATGGGTATTCTTGTCCCAGCAGCTCCATCAAGCCCATCAGCTTCAATGGGGCCACCAGTAACGCCTGAAAAATATTGCACACGGCTAAGTTCCTATAATTTTCAGAAAGTTGGAAATCAAACTTAAGGCCGTAAAATGTTCCATTGTTCATTAAATACTTATAACACAAGCTCCAATGGACCCACCTGATCCCTCTATTGGTCCTCCAGATTCTAAAATGATCACAAAATAAGACTGGTGGCTAATGGGAATCGCCTCCTCGTGTTTTTTGTTTTGATTTTTTTTTTCTCATAATTTCAAAACGACACTATTTTTTTCTAGATATATGGAGTGGAAAGAAAAAAAATTAAAATTTTCTTACCAGTCTTGGGAGCTTTTGTTCCACCTGTGTGTTTAACAAAATGTTAAAATTACAATGCAGGAACAAACAAATTAGCAGCTTAAAGAACAAATAATAATAAATATCAATAATTGATAGAAAAACAAGTAATGTCCTTGACCTCCTTCACTACGAGTTCCACCATCAGGACTGCCGATCACTAAACAGGAATCAGATAAAACTGGTAGTATCTTACTAAAGCCCATTAAAAAACATTAATTAATAATTAATAATTGCATTACCTCCATCAACTCCAGGTTTAGGACCTGCTCCACGATCTGTTCCGCCAGCAGCTGTACTACCTGGAATTGTTGGTCCTCCTGTGATGCCTGGTATTTAAATGAAAAATTAGAATAGTAATATTATATTATACTGGAGAGACGGATTGCTAGATGAAATAAGCAAAGATCATGAACTCACCATACTTGTCTTCCTTGGTTCCTGAACCTTGTATACCTCCAGCCCCACCTACACCACATGAGATGAAACGCTGAGCATGTAAATAAATTCCTCCCGCCTCTATCTATTAACTGCTGTTTAGTTTAATCAGTGATCACCCACCAGTTCCAACTCCAGTTCCTGTGGCCCCAGTTCCACCAGTTGCTGGTACCGAGCCACCCAACACACTTCCAACCCCACCAGCTGGTTGTCCTGTTAGATGCAAATGCATGGGGTCAAATCTTAGCCTGAATATATGTGGTATTTTAATTGTGAAAGTTAAGTGTTTTACCATATTTAGGTGGTTTTTGTCCTCCTCTATACCCTTTAGAATGAAATGTAAAAAACAAACAAACAGGAGATTCATCCACAGAAGCTTAAACCAATTGATTAAAACAGTTTAGTGATCAGCTTTGCACATCTAGTTTTTAAAACTTTACCTCCATACCCCCCATATCCAACACCAGTGCCAAGCCCTCCAGGGAGAACTGGAAAAAAAAGTATTTTAAACTTATTATTCAAATTCAGCATACAAAACAAAATGGTTAAACGTGATTTAATGATTTGTAAATGCAAGTACACGTTGATGGCCTAAGACACGAAACGAGCGGTTTGTGTGAGAAAACAAACAGTATTTATATCGTTTTACCTCGTTACCACAACCTTGTGGTTACAAGAGTTAAAAACAATATAAAAAATTAGTTTTCTCACACAAACCGCTCGTTTCGTGTCTTAGGCCATCAATGTGTACTTACATTTACGAGTCATTAAATCATGTTTAATTTGGACTTCTCTGTGCATGCTCTTTGAGGTGGTGACCATAGACCTCCATTATATGACTGACAGACAAAATATCAAAATTGAAACTACTGCGGAAACAAAGACACCTACATCTTGGATGCCCTTGAGGTAAGCTAAAACATACCAAAAATTAATTTCAAAGTGAACTATCCCTTTTAACATTTCTCAAATTATCTTTTTTTGTATGTTCCACAGAAGAAAGAAAGGCAAACAGGTTTTGAAACAACATCAGAGTGTGTAAATGGAGTTTTCATTTTTGGGTGGAGTATCCCTTTAAAGAGAGAAAAAAAAATTGCATGTCAAATTGCTTCACATACCTCCAGCACCTCCTGGTATAGCTCCTGCTCCTCCTCCTAACACACCTCCAGAACCAGGTAAACCTGTCAAAATATTCCTGTGTTTTGACTTATTTTGTATCATTTCAAGGCAAACATTTCATTGTTAACATGCAAGTATAAAATATCAATAAGTTGATATTAAACATAACAAAATTATTTAAATATTAGTATTTATTGTACATCAAATATGAATATATTTGAAAAAACAAACAAATATATGAATACAATATTTAATAACATTTATATACAGCCACTTGCAAGACGTGTAAGTGTATGCACTACAATTATATATTTAAACTTGCCATATTTAGCTGCTTTTGATCCAGGTCCATATCCTTAGGGCATTATGTGTAATAAATGGAAAGATATGTAGATCAGATACAGCTTTAATAATGCACATTTTCTAATGCTTTGTAAATGACCCATTTTTGACTCGCTTAAATTACCTCCAGCGCCTGTTCCATACCCAGGCCCAAGCCCTCCTCTGCTTCCAGCTCCAACAGCACTACCAGGCAGTCCTGATCCAGCAAATCCAGACCCAGGACCTCCTACAGTCCCTGGACCATAACCTCCCACTGGACCGGTTCCTACCTGACCCTGCAGACCAAGTCCTGGAGCCCCTCCGCTCCCACCAGGACCTGGAATAAAACAATTTAATAAGTGTTAATACAAAGTTGTATCAATACTCAATACTGATTTAAAATAATCCTACCATATTTAAGAGCCTTTGGTCCACCTGGATAGGCTACATTCAAAGTGAGACACAAAGAATACATGTAGAAATGGAAAATTAACAGAACTGCATGTAATTCAGGCCCAGTTTAACAGACAGGGCTTTAGACTAACCCAGGATAAGGTCTTAGTTCAATTAAGTAGCTTTTATAAACGTGCCTTAGAAAAAAAACATTACTGGTCTGCACCTTGAGACAAAACAATGACACTTACATATTTTAAGATATACCAGCGCAAGTTGCTTCAAGTTAAAACAGCTCAAACATGCATTTAGGCCTTGTCTGTGAAACCAGGGGATAATGTTTGTCAGTATACCTCCAAAGCCAGCTCCATATCCTCCAGCAGGTACTCCTCCTGGCCCATAACCACCGATCGGTGCCCATCCTGGTCCAGTTCCAGCTCCTGGTGTTCCTCCTCCAGCTCCAGCTGTGCCGGTACCAAGTGACCCTCCTAATCCTCCAGGTAATTGTATTCCACCAGCTCCACCAGGAACCCCTTTTTTGGACGATAAAATGTCATTTAAAAGTATATTTTTTTACATGGACTCTAAAAATTTGAGAACAAAATGATTTAAACTTCCCCTTACCATATTTGCGAGCTTTGGCCCTAGCATATCCTAGAATATAAGAAGACAATGGTTGAGAAGAAATATGATTTTTCAGTGGTTTAAGCTATTTTTTTTTAAGCTAATTGTGTCTCTAAAAAACAGTGTTACTATTAGATTGCAATTTATTTTATCTCAGTGTCTCAAATCAGAGTAAACCAAAAAAAGCAAGGTCTTATAGGCCATTTAGTGCCCCTGTGGGGACCTCAATTTATCCTAGCATCGCTGTATACCCTCGAAAAATACACTGAACCTCCAGATCTTTACCTCTTCACCTGCTAATAAAAAAACTCCAGTCTAGCAAATTCAAGATGTCACCTCAGAAAACCTTGGCCAGGCCAATGTGGTCATGCATGACTTCACATTAGTGAACTATAAAGAAAGAAGAGCAGAGTATGGAAAACTACCTATGCTTAAAACGCCATACAATAGATAACCAATATTGTGCTCCACCCACACTAAACTTACACTGATGTGCGTTTGAATGATGTAGTTATCCCCTCTGAGAACACTGATAAGACACTATGCCCAAGAATGTCATGGCTAAACTTACAGCCAAACCCAAAGAAAGGTCATCTGGCTAGACATGTTACTTAGGTTTCCAGACTGGCCAGGGTTTAATTAAACTCCAAGAAAGGCCAAAGCTATCATTTTCTTATGACATTGCATTTCTATGGTTTTTTTTTTTTTTTTAAGATTCTTTGTCTTTCTCTGAATTCCTGCAAACAGAATGACATACCTTCTACATTACTCATAGACTGTCGAGATAGAAGAAAAGAGGCTACAATTTGCAAGAGCTCACTAAAATTGGACCATTCAAGACTGGGAAAATGTTGCTTGATCTTATGAGTCTCAATTTTTACATGGGATAATGCATGTAATGATAATGCATGGGATGAAACCCAATAGGCGGTTGTGTTGAGAAAGCTGTAAAACTGAGTTGTGCAACATCCGTTTACACTCCTCAACAGTCAATATTCTGTGCAAAGTATATCAATGTATTGTCTTTGTGGTCACTTACACTTAATCATTTTCATCTTTTTACCACATTGTTGAGGGGAAAATAGAGAAATGCTATGGGCTATCAGGGGTACTCTCAGTCAAGTCTGGTAGTACGTAAGTAACCTTTAAGTAAGTAATGAATACCAATTTACCTTCAGGTCCAAATGCACTTCCAGGACCAAACCCACCACTGGGTACACCTCCTGGACCGTAACCCACACCAGATCCAACTCCAGTTCCAGGTATACCCCCTGCCCCACCCAGTCCGACACCAGTGCCTGTAGCTAATCCAGTGCCTTGGCCTAAACCAGCACCCCCACCAAGTAGACCTAGAAAAGCAAAAATAATATATCTGGGTGTAAGCTATAATACAGTTTGGATAATAAATGAATAAATCAATAAAACCATACAAAATTATTTTAACAGTATGTTGAAGGATTGAATTAACTGTTGTTTTACCATATTTACGAGCTTTTGCCCCTGCATATCCTGCAAAGCATCAAGGTATGTAATATGACCTCAAAAACGTTATAATAAAATTTACATCATACAGTATGATTGTATAATTTTGTACCAGAGCCAGGAAGTCCTCCAGAACCACCGCTAGGAAGACCACCAGCTCCTCCACCAGGTAATCCACCTGTCCCAAGACCTCCACCAGGCAGTCCACCAGTCCCAAGACCTCCACCAGGCAGTCCACCAAGACCTCCACCGGGCAGTCCACCAGTCCCAAGACCTCCACCAGGTAGTCCACCAGTCCCAAGACCTCCACCAGGTAGTCCACCAGTCCCAAGACCTCCACCAGGTAGCCTACCAGTCCCAAGACCTCCACCGGGCAGTCCACCTGTCCCAAGACCTCCACCAGGTAGACCACCAGTCCCAAGACCTCCACCAGGTAGACCACCAGTCCCAAGACCTCCACCATGACGTCCAAGCTGAGCTACAAAGCAATTATCAAAGAATATTAATGTATTTACTTTCTTACAGTGTCTATGACTGTGGTAGAATCTCACAACTTATTTGTAATAAAATCATAAAGTCTTGAGTTTTAGGTGGAGCTTACAGATATATCATACAGTTATTTCATCTAAAACAATCAAAGGATCTAATAAAAAATGATTAGGGCCGGATTTGGCCTGTGGGACACTAGTTGAGGAGTCCTGATGTTGGGTATACAATATTCACAAAATAATTAAGAGGGACATTCATAATATTTTCCTTTCAATCTTTGATTAAAAAGAGCCAAGAATTAAAGGAGCTGTATGCAAGAAATTTTATTTCAATTAATCATACATTTTATTTAACCTGTGTAGGACTCGTCACTTGCCATTGGAAGCGGGGGATACACCGCTCTACAGTAATTTGAAAGTGATTGCAGTACCAGTTTTGGCCACAATCTTGCATACGGTTCCTTTAAGTCTGAAATTTTGACTGACAATCCTCCTACAATAAGGTTGGGGAATCTCATTGGATTCATAATACTTAACAAATCTGCATAGCATTCACTCATGACAAATCATTTCTCATGCATTTTGTGAAAAGCTAGAGCAGGAACCTCGTTCCTGGAGAGCTAACCCTGTTTGAACACACCTTCCTGTAATTTTCTAGTAATCCTCAGCACCCTAATTTAGGTGGACAGGAAGGTACTGTAACTCTCCAGGAACAGAGTTGCTTAGTCAGATACATATCATTTATGGACACTGAAGATTTTTAGCAATACCATTCATTTTTATTTGCCTTTCAGTAGATCGATTGCAAGATGCAGAATGTAAAGTCATACCATATTTTCTTGCTTTAGCCGCAGCATATCCTAAAAAAATGACAGAATAGTAGACATTGTTGTGCGATTAATAATAATATAACTTTCAGCAGCAAAAGAAAGTCATTTTCAACTAACATTACTTTCAAGATACCTTCAGGACCTCCACTAGCTCCTAAACCAGAACCAAGGGGTCCACCCTGACCACCCAAGCCAGAACCAGGAAGTCCTCCAGCTCCAAGACCACCAACTCCCAAGCCAGAACCAGGAAGTCCTCCGGCTCCAAGACCACCAAATCCCAAGCCAGAACCAGGAAGTCCTCCAGCTCCAAGACCACCAACTCCCAAGCCAGAACCAGGAAGTCCTCCAGCTCCAAGACCACCAAATCCCAAGCCAGAACCAGGAAGTCCTCCAGCTCCAAGACCACCAACTCCCAAGCCAGAACCAGGAAGTCCTCCCGCTCCACCAATTCCTAAAATAGACGACACAAAATTAATAGAAATTAAGATACCATACCATCTTCTTCCGCTCATCCGGGGCCGGGTCGAGGGGCAGCAGTCTAAGCAGAGATGCCCAGACTTCCCTCTCCCTAGACAGCTCTTCTGGGGGGATACCGAGGCGTTCCCAGGCCAGCCGGGAGACATAGTCTCTCCAGCATGTCCTAGGTCTTCACCGGGGCCTCCGCCCAGTGGGACGTGCTTGGAACACCTCCGCAGGAAGGGGTCCAGGAGGCATCCGGAACAGATGCCCGAGCCACCTCACCTGACCCCTCTCGATGTGGAGGAGCAGCGGCTCTACTCTGAGCTCCTCCAGAGTGACCGAGCTTCTCACCCTATCTCTAAGGGATCGCCCACCCTGCAGAGAAAGCTCATTTCGGCCGCCTGTATCCGGGATCTTGTCCTTTCGGTCATGATTCTCTGTTTCTATCTCTTCATTTTTCGTGTCTACTTTTTAAAGTAACTGATGAAAAATTTCACAAAATTTTCCCTCTTATATCTGCTGTCATTTATTAACACCTATCCATTTCCATGAAAGAAACAGTTGTCAGCCAGGTGATTGTATATAACAAGAATGTAAAGGTTTTCTTACCATATTTCCGAGCTTTTGCCCCAGCTCCTGATGAAAGACAATTCATAGATATTATAATGCTTGAGCAATTGTCACAGTTTTGGATAATCTCTAAATATTTCAGTCTATGTTTAGTTAGCCCTAAATTTACCTCCAGGATAAACACCACCAGCTCCCGGATTTAAGACTCCAGGAGTTGCGCCACCAGTTCCAGGAATGACTCCTGGAACACCGCCTATTCCTGGCACACCACCTGCACCAGGTACACCTCCTACACCAAGCCCACCACCTAGACCCGGAACACCACCAGCACCTGAAAGGAGAGTCAAAAATATTTAGTATGTTCTTTTGACATGTATTGAAATTTTGTTCCTGCATGACTTACCATACATGGCAGCTTTAGCCTGAGACTTTGCAGCGCTTTTGCCTTGAATGAAGTAGAAAGTACATTTCTATAAATACTCTACAACTCTAATCATTTGGCAAGTATAGTGTATAATGGTTTATATCAAATGTGAATGACTATCATGGATAAATGGACAGTTTTAATTGCCTACTACCTCCAGACTTAGGTGATATAAGAGGATATCCACGGAACACGCCTGGAATTTGTTGACCAAATCCTCCGCGGCCTCCTGCTAGAGAAAAGAGAAGTGATCTCTGTTATAAGTTATTTTCATACTTTATTAAAATAATTGTTCTTTCAGTAATTTAATTTACCATTGGCTCCAACTGCACCTTGACCAAGCTGCCCTATAAACAAAAAAATAGGAGAGAGCGCTTCAGAAAGCATTTTCATTGTTGGATAAAGCTATAAATTACGTTAAACTTACCAGTTTGAGATCCTGTGGCTACACCTGGCAGAATGCCTCTACCACCAAAGCCTACACATAAAAACAAAAATGCAGATTTGTGTGAATATTCTAGAAACATTGGAAAATCTTGTAACTGAAAAATATTTCAGTCACCCACCTTGCCCAGGAACAATACCCCCTTGGTATAACCCTGGAATCCCAACACCTTGTTTGAATGCAGAAAAAGAGAAAATATAAAACATTGCCTTCCTTATCCTTATCAAAGATTTGTTAAAACTATTCCAGAAAAGGGGAGCAATATAGAGACCAATTACCTGGCACTGGTGCCTTCCCAGCCTTTCCAACTTTGCCCCCAGTGCCTGTTCCAGTTCCAGGTAATCCAGTTTGGGGAAGAAAAGGTGCTAGGAGCCATAATGAAGTTGCAAACAATTTATTATGATAACATTTATTATTAAGATACTTTAATAAATAAATCAGTTAAACAAGTATGCCCCTTAAAACCTACCTCCACCAGGCGATACTCCTGCTCCTCCAATTCCAGTTCCAGTGCCACCAGGTCCAATTCCTACACCTCCAGGACCAACTCCTGCTCCACCTGGACCAAGTCCTGTCCCACCTGGACCAATTCCTGTGCCACCTGGTCCAATTCCAGTACCACCTGGACCAATTCCTGTCCCACCTGGACCAATTCCTGTGCCTCCTGGTCCAATTCCTACACCTCCAGGGCGAACTCCTGCACCACCAGGTCCAAATCCTGCACCACCTGGACCAAATCCTGCACCACCTGGACCAAATCCTGCACCACCAGGTCCAATTCCTGCACCACCTGGACCAAATCCTGCACCACCATGTACAAATCCCATTTCAGAAGGATCAAGCAGTTTAGATATGTTTTCTTGAAAAAATGTACTTTAAATCTTTTTGCTGTGATGAAAAACAAGATGCTTTAATCAAGATCTGTGTCCAACCACAAGTAACAAAGTACCACACCTTTATTTATGCCAATACTCATGTCCATAGATCTAGTTTTACCTGGTTTTGGTGGTTTCTGGCCAGCTGTTCCAGCTCCAGGATAAAGACCTCCAGGCCCACCGTATCCACCATAGCTGCCTAAAATCAAATTCCATTTTTTTAAATCTCAGAAAGAAAAATATGATCACTTTATGCTTTTTTAAACAATGGTCTTAATTTTAACGTTTTATCCCAGTCTTTTATAACTGCAGTAAAATGTTCTTTATTTTATGTCTATAACGAATGAGGAAAAATATGTGTAGCCTTACCACCTGATGGGTAGCCTGTTCCAGCACCTCCAATCCTGGGATCTCCTACTCCAAGATTTCCTGTTCCAAACGGTCCACCACCGAAACCCCCAGGCCAGCCATAACCTATATTTAGAATGAATAAGAAAAATTGTAACTTTCACAGCGAAAAAAAATGTGGATTTGAAGTTTGAGTGCACAGTGTTTTTGTTGTAATTGCAAAATACTTTTTATATTTACATCATACCTGGTTTCCCAGGTTTTCTGCCTGCTCCTGTGACAATGAAAAATTATTTATTTGAATGAAATAGTACTGTGAAAAGAATCAGTATAAAGAGATTTAAAAAACTAATGTTCTTTGTCTACTATTAATAAAAAATATGTCTTAACAGGACTCAAGATACCTGGTCCAACACCACCTGGTCCAAAGCCACCTGGTCCAACGCCACCTTGTCCAAAGCCACCTGGTCCAACGCCACCTGGTCCAACGCCACCTGGTCCAACACCACCTGGTCCAACGCCACCTGGTCCAACGCCACCTTGTCCAAAGCCACCTGGTCCAACACCACCTGGTCCAACGCCACCTGGTCCAACGCCACCTTGTCCAAAGCCACCTGGTCCAACACCACCTGGTCCAACGCCACCTGGTCCAACACCACCTGGTCCAACGCCACCTGGTCCAAAGCCACCTTGTCCAAAGCCACCTGGTCCAACACCACCTGGTCCAACACCACCTGGTCCAACGCCACCTGGTCCAACGCCACCTTGTCCAAAGCCACCTTGTCCAAAGCCACCTGGTCCAACGCCACCTTGTCCAACGCCACCAAGGCCTCCATAACCTGTAAATAATGTGTATATACATAAAAAATCCAACACTAAATCTAAACACTAACTAAACACTAACACTAAACAGTGCATTTTACAGATTGCTAACCTGTTTTGGGGGGTTTTCCTCCCACACCTAGAAGCAGGAAATGAAAAAAAAAACCTTCACTAAACAAAACCTTATATGTTTGGGGTTATGCTTTTACATATTCATAAATAGTTAACATTTACAGTAGTTTTTATTAAATTTCTAACCTCTTCCAGCACCTCCTGGACCAACTCCACCAGTACCAAGCCCTCCCACACCAGTGCCCACACCAACTCCTGAAAAAAAAAATTTTTTTTTTTTAGAAACATCATCATAAAAGATTGTCTACCTTAAAGTTTAACTTTTTGGAGTACAATGGAGTTTTTCTACCTTGTCCAGGTAGTCCTGTGCCAAAACCACCAGCTCCTGGACCAACACCAAAACCACCAGGTACTAAACCTCCAGCACCCCCTGGCCTCAGTCCAAGTCCTCCAAGACCACCAGCACCACCAAGACCTCCAACTCCAAGAGTGCCATAACCTGTTTGTGTGAAGCAAGACTCATGCAAACCTCAATGAAACCAATACATTGTTTGCTTAATTTAATGTATGTAGTTAAAATTGCAAATATATACAGGCAGTTTATTGACTGCAGTTTTCTCCTACTCACCAGGTTTAGGGGGTTTGCCACCAACACCTACAGAAAAAATATAGGGTGAGTGAAAAAAGTGCTTCCCAGAAATCAATCTGAGTCAACCCCCTAACCCAACAAATATGAAGTTTCCAGTATTACTTGGATTTATATATGGAGTTATTCTACAATCCCATAAAGACTAGCAGAACATTGTTAAGGAATAATTGAGATATGTTTGATCACTTATTAGTAAAATTACTTTTTAAGAAATAATACCTGCTCCAAGGCTTCCAGTTCCAACACCAGCACCAGGGCCAGTCCCTCCAGGTCTAGTTCCCACTGTTCCAAACCCTCCTGGACCAATGCCACCAGGTCCAATACCTCCTGGACCAACGCCACCAGGTCCAATACCTCCCGGACCAACGCCAACAGGTCCAATACCTCCTGGACCAACGCCACCAGGTCCAATACCTCCTGGACGAATGCCACCAGGTCCAATACCTCCTGGACCAACGCCGCCAGGAATTATGCCACCAGGACCAACTCCTCCAGGTCCAAGTGATCCAGCTCCAGGAAAAACGCCTGTACCACCTGGTCCAATTCCTGGTAGATATCCTCCTGTGTTGACACAATGAACTTCTCATCTGATGTAAAATCAATGTCTCTGGCAATCTTAATCAATTTAACATGAGTTACAACGCACCTGTTTTAGGTGGCTTGACAAATGGCCCTATTAGAAAACATAAAATTGGTTATTACATATTTACGTCCTTTTTGTGACTTGATAGCATGCCCTGAATAGTTTATTATGTTCAGAAAAATAATACAATTCATAAAAATTAATGAAGGTAAATAATAAAAATGACACTTGTTTATTAATTTTCTTTCAATCCTGCAATGGCAGTTTAAGGTAAATTACACATAATAGAAAATTTCAGCAACCTGTTCCAAGTCCTCCAGTGCCTAATCCACCAGTACCAAGTCCTCCACCACCAGGCCCAACTCCCCCAAGACCTCCACTACCCAGTCCAGCACCTTGCCCCCCCCCCCATATAGACATTATATACATCAATTATATGCAGGATTGATATGCAAGCTATACTGTAGACACTAATTGCAAAACCTCACCAGTTCCAGGTCTGATGCCAATTCCTGGCCCTGTTCCAAATCCACCAGGACCAGCGCCTGGACCTAATCCTGTTCCAACTCCTCCAGGACCAACTCCTGGCCCAACAGAACCAAATCCACCTCCTGGACCAGTTCCTATATTGGTTCCAGCTCCAGTTCCAACACCAGCTCCTAATCCAGCTCCAGCTCCTCCCCCTGCACCAGCTGGTATGTAGACACCTGAGAGAGAAAGAAAACATTAATAAACTTCTTTATTAATATGTCCCATGCAGGATAGCATGCCAGACTGAGGACATAAGGAAGCATTTGAAGAGTTTAGATGCAAAAGCCTCTAAATGCCATTTGAAAGTTTCTTCTTTAATGATGATTTTTATCAAACTTGTATATTTAAGTTCAGTGATTTCACTTAAATGGCAATGATAATTACCTATTAATTGTTATTTAAGTGAAATTACTGAACTTAAATATACAAGTTTGATAAAAAATCATCATTAAAGAAGAAAATTTCAAATGGCTTTTAGAGGCTTTTGCATCTGAACTCTTCATTTAGTTGTGTGTTTGACCTGAAGAGGGGTATAAGAGAATATTTTCTGAAACATTATTAGTAGAAATGCACTACAAACCCATTTTTGTTTTATTGTCGGACGATGCATATTAGGATCTCACTCCTGCAACACATTACCAGTTTATGAGGACCATTCTTGTCATTTACTCAGTGCTGATGCCACATTCCCAAAGGGGTTCAATCTAATCTCCACATAGTCTTTTATGTGAAGCCTCAAACAGCACCAAATGCATTACCACATGAGATTGTGTGTCTTGCCTTGCTATTTAAGGTTTGGAGGCATAGGGGAACAGAGAATGGATGCGATTCATATGAGGAACAACATCCTATACATGACCTTATCCAAGAGCTTATCCAAGTCCTTTATTCTACAAACCCTCTGGGACAACAAGCTTATAGGTTGTTAGTGTATGATGTAATGATCTGGACTAGAACTTCTCAGATCTTTTCATTCCACATGCATAAAAGATGGCAAGTGGGAAACCTTGTTTTATCCAAAAACATAAACAGTGAATTAAAATCCCTTAAAAATGCAATTTGCATTGTTTATAAGAATCTAACGTAGTACTTGCCATTGTGTCAAAAACTTTCACTTTCACTCAGATTTCACTCTAATACCAATAAAAAGCATGATTAATGCAAATATATATTCTGTATTTTATTTGAGGAGCTTGTAGCTTGAATCACGAGTGGGCAATTTTGCCTTATTGTCTTAAGATTAAAAGATAATGCAGGAACAAGACTTCATTGACACAAACCATCCTGCAACAATAAAATACAGCATGTCCTCAATAAAGGACTTTTCAATAACAATTGCTTACTTTTTATTCATCCATCCTTTCCCTGTAAAACATTCAGAATTCAGAGAACAAATAATTGCATCCACTGTTGGTTGGCAATATGGTACTGATATTAAGAGAGCGTGTGATCCTATTGCCAAAACAGCAGTACACCTGTACTGCAATAAGATAGAAAAAGCCAAACGAGATTCAAGACACCTTACCTCCTTGAAGGGAGGGTCTACACAGAAACAGCAGGAGAAATCCATGCAAGAGCGGAGGTACCTTACTCCGGGCCATCCTGCTCTGTAATATCCCTCTCCACTTCCAAACTGTGGGTTTTATCCCCCAAAAGCAAACCATTACACACCCATGTCTTAAACAAGAAGGATAAGGGGTGGGGGGTCAGTATGAAAGAGAGAGAAAAAAAGTACACTACGTAATTAGGGAAACTAGCACACTTGGGTCTTGTACATTATGTTGTCTTTTTCTGTTTTTTCTAACCCCACCCCTAACCCCCCTAAATGACTGGTGCTAGTGCATTTATTTGGGTCACCTCTGCCAACATGAGTCAAAGCCTTAGCCAAAAAAATAACAACAGATATTTGAGGATAGGGAGAGGGAGAAAATCTCTCTCTCTCTCTCTCTCTCTCTCTTAACATCGACCTCACCGAGAGAAACGTCTGCCAGATATTCTCATGGAGAGCGTTTCTTTTTTTATCCAATCAAAAGCAGTAAGAAATCACTCCAGATAAGGCTATTACGTGATCTATTGTTTCCAGCTACGGGGGTGTAAGTCATATGGCCTGGATTCATTATTCAATCATTCAAAAAGGAAGAGAGCTTGGCCACTTGGACAGCCTCCAGCGATCACTCTATTGTTATTAACATATGAGTCCCCGAGGTGAGGAACACATGAAATCATGTATGTGATGGAAAATCATTGAATGGGTGTGTGTTGGAACACATTTTTGAAGGTTGAAAACACAGATTTTAATAACCCCTCTAGCCCCAAAGCCTTTAGATCCAACTGGGGTGTTGACGGCTAAGTCATGAAGACTTCTTGAAATATTGGTGCATCTTTAAGGCTCAATGTGACCTCTGAGAATGGAGAGACCAATTCATAAATTAAGTAGTTTCTCTCCTAAATAGGTAATAAATTGTCATCCCAGTAAACACAGAATGTTCCCGTAGCGTTCCCGTATGGTTCCTATTTGGTTATTTTTTTGGGAACCAAATAATAATGTTCTGGGAACGTTCCCTGTTGGTTATTTTTAGGTTCTCCTAAAAGGAACGTTCCCCTAACCTTAAGGGAATGTTTTATTTACGTTAAGAACTTTCCTGGGGAACCAATCGGGAACGTTCTGGGAACCAAAAACTAACGTTCCCAGAACCTAAAATTGTTTGCTGGGATGCACTTCAAACAGTCTTTAAGGCTGAATGACATCCAGAAGATTCAAGTTTGATTCATACTTTATGCTAAAACTGCTGTGAACGTCTTATCTTCAAAGCTATCATTCTGGTCACCTTACGGACTGTTAGGTTCTTGCACATACATACATTCTGGCAGTTTGTGTCAAATTTTGTAAAGAAACCAAGGGGCTTTTCTGGAAAGGTACCATATCCCCCTCCCACCCCTTGCTGAGTTTTAAACCCAGATTGTCTAGCACTCCTTGTTTGGTCTGGAGGAGTTTTGCCAAAAAGTCTGCGTTCAAGCACTAGTTGTGTTTCAGGCTATTTGGCAAGGAATAAGATTAGGTCATTCCTCTACTGATAGACGCGTATTTGAATTCAATGTAAAACTGTGTATATGTGAATACCTTTATGTGTGTTTGGAGGTTCAGTGCTGGCAAGAAGCACATCTCAGTGATCAAGAATGAACATCCATGTCCATAACTGTGCAATGATCATGTGCAGAAACCATTGACAACTAAGCATTAAAAGGCACATGCTAGTTGTAACGAGATCTAATAATGGGTCTGTCTCTGTAGAGGTTTACACTTTCTGAAAAAGCCTGTGTAAAACTTGACCAGAATGTTGCTGTGTTTTTCTAAAGTGCCCTGAGTGGTTTTTATTGCATTGTGATGTGGTTGCTAGGTCATCGCTATGCAGTTGCTAGGGTGTTCTGGGTGGTTGCTTGGGTGTAGTAATAATGCAGTTTCTAGGGCATTTAGGCTACATCCACACTCCTGCGTTTTCATTTAAAAACGGAGACATTTTGATACGTTTTCACCTCCCGTCCAGACTAAAACGGAGAAGTTTAGAAACGCTGCAGCTCCGTTTTGCGTTTTGAATCTCCGGAGGGCGTTTTAGTGAAGACGGGACAAAACGGAGGAGCTCTATGATTGGGTGTCATCAGTCATGACGTGTCCTTCCCTGATTCGTCAGCCACCGTTTACACCGGCACGCGCATGCCCAGTGTTGTTGAATGGTCACGTGATCTGTGTTTTCAATCGTTTTAATGTGGACGGTGGTAAAACGCTGGTGTAGATGGAGATCGTATTCGTTTTAATTGTCCGTTTTTTAACGAAAACGCAGTAGTGTGGACGGGGCCTTTGCGAAGGTGTTGCTATACAGTTTCTAGGGCAGTCGGAGAGGGGTTGCTTGAGCATTGCTAATTGCGAGGGTGTCCTGGATAGTTGCTAGGGAGTTGATATGCGGTTGCTATGGAGTTGATATGCGAGATAGGGAGTTTTCGGTGGTTGTTGATTTAGTTTCTCGGACATTCCGAGAGGGGACTGCCAAGCAGTTGATAGACTCTAAAAAATGTTGGGTTGTTTCAACCCAAATTTGGGTCAAATACGGAGAAACCCAAATGTTGGGTTAAAAATGTCATTTAAAATTTTAACCCAACTTCAACTTTCACTTTCAACGGTAAACTTTTTCATTACATTTTTAACCCAACATTTGGGTTTGTCCATATTTGACCGAAATTTGGGTTGAAACAACCCAGCAATTTTTAGAGTGTATGGGTGTTCTGGGCAGTTGCTAGGTAGTTGAGCACTCTAAAAAATTCAACCCAAATTTGGATCAAATATGGACAAACCCAAATGTTGGGTTAAAATGTAATTTAAAAATGTGCAGTTGAAAGTGAAAGTAGAATTTGGGTTCAAAATGTAAATTACATTTTTTTAACCCAACATTTGGGTTTGGGTTTTTACAAATGTAACTGTAATGGTGATGCTTGCCCCATAGTAAGCAATACTAAAAAGGAAAACATGATGCTCCCATAATTTAAAATGAGAGACAAGCCCCTTTTGTCTCTTTTGAAAAGTTTCCCATTATACCACACACATTTGAACTTGATATCCAATAAGCAGACAGTTTTAAAACAAGCTGAACACTATGTTTGGCCTGGGTAAAAAGCGATAAGCCAGCTATCTGCTGACCCAGTTACTCTCTGAATCAGGGGTTGACAGCTGATTCAGCCAAATCTCAAAAGTTTTTTATCCAAAAGAGGTGGATATATAGTAGAACAGGGCGTTTTCTCTCACTCTTAGAAGAAATGGTTCTATTTGGAACCAGAAATGGTTCCATCCCCCACTTCATATATGGAACTCCAAAATGGTTCTATATAGAACCATTTTTTTTTTGGTAAAAGGTTCTATTGACCAAGTATGGAACCCCAGGGTTCTATATAGAACCCAGAGGAACCCTTTTTTTAATAGTGTATAGAACCTTTTAAGGGTTCCAAAAACATAGCGCTAATAGAACCTTTTAAGGTTCTATATAGAAGAGTGTACAATCCCGTAATTAGACAGAAAATCTGTTTCACTGCCTTTCACAAAACATGATTGAAATGGTTTTGCATGGCCACTTTGATGGAGGAATAGTTATGTGGTGAAACAAATGTGAAATAAAAAGAACTATACGTAAACAAAGGCAAAGCAGATAAAGTAATTTGAGGAAAAGCTTGAGAACATTGTGTCCATTGATAAGGCTTGATCCAATAAGGACAAATGACTTGGCATGCGTTTTGTTTTTCTGAGGATCTCTGACCTAAAAATCGAACTCTATCAAAGTAATACACATACATCACCACCTGAATTTTCTTGTGATCCAACAGCTGCTTTGTGTAAACCCTACCACCCCCCTGTCCACATAAAACAGTTATGCACACAATCTTGCAGTGGAGTGCCCAGTGCCAGTGCAGAGAAGCATATCGCAGTTGTTGACTGAAAAGTGCCTGTTTTCAGTTTACCTAACGTCTACCTTCAGTTTAGCTAATGTCTGCTGTCTATATAAGGGCCGGCACGCTGAGGGAAACTGCCTCAGGTTTTAAAGCGAGGAGGGGCATCAGAATAGGTTTGCAAGGGTCCCGTCCTTCAGATAAGCTGGCACTGCTGCTGAGATTTCTCAGCTCATTTCTTTCATTTTATTGCAGTGTGGGCTATACACAAAGATGTGGTGGGCTTGAATATTTTAACAAGCGAGGGTTTGAGCAGGTGCATAGGCCACAGTCTAGAAAAGGTCTGATTTGCATACTACAACATGCACACCAATATAGAGGGAGGTTCATTTTCAATTTATAAGATTATAATAACAAAAAAAATAAGTGTTACTAAAAATAATATGTTAAATGTTTTTTCAATGTGGTCTCAGATATTTTTTTTTTGCTACACTACAAGTTGTTGTCATACAGGCATATCAATCTTCTATTGCTTTTGCTTTTTGATTTGATTCATGTAGCTGACGCTTTTATCCAAAGCGACTTACAATTGCTTAGGGATGCACCGATATGGAAATTTTAGCCGATACCGATAACCGATAATTCTTTATATTTGAAAGACGGTAACCGATATATCGGCCGATAAACTTAAATCCAAATTTTTATCGAATTTTGAGAGCCTGATTAAAAATACAAAAGTCTCACAATTAAATCCATGTCCCAAGCGCACAATTATGATGATGTTCTCATTATAGTGTTGTATAGCCGATATGACGGATTTGCGATGCACATGTTGTACCGACCTGTATTTTCATTTTTTGAAGAGATTTCAATTAAATTTCAAGAAATTCAAAAACATAAACAGTGCTCAACAAGTGTCTCAGCTGAAGGGAATAATACATTATTTATCGGCTTTAATATATCGGCCACATTTTCTTACCAGGCCGATAACGATAACATTAAAAATGAACATATATCGGCCGATACCGATATGCTGGCCGATATATCGTGCATCCCTACAATTGCTATATATGTCAGAGGTCGCACGCCTCTGGAGCAACTAGGGGTTAAGTGTCTTGCTCAGGGACACATTGGTGTCTCACAGTGGATTCGAACCCGGGTCTCTCACACC